TGAGCCGCTATCTAAAATCACGATCTTGCCATCATCGAACATTTCACCATTGGAAACCATTCTGACTGTCAGATTCTGACTGATGAATTTGACGACATAGCACTGGCAGGAATGCCATAGATTCTTCTCACCGTTGAAGCTGTTGAGTTTGTAGGGGGATAACTGGTTGTGGCAGAGGAACGCGCTTGTCCACCTTGGGCAGGCTGTTGAACAGGATTTTGAGCTTGCTGTTGAACATTCACGACCTGGTTGGTCATTCTGTTGGGGCAATCTCGTGACCAATGCCCATACTCATGGCAAAACGACATTGTTGAGGATCGACTTGCTTTCCTTTTCGATCACCGTTCTTGCCGCCATCTTTTGCTTTGCCCTTGCTCTTACCTTTCTGCTTTCCTTTCCCTTTGCCCTTATTGCTTCTCCCTTATCCACGTCCACGACCAGCTCCACATAGCGCATAGCCCCCAAAGTCCCACCAGTTTCGACCTTTGGTTTTGGATTTGCCTTTGCCTTTCTGCTTGCCACCTTTGTCAACCCAAACGCGATTTGGTTGAGGTCCAGCGTAAGAGGAACTTGCAGGTTCAGCTATTGGATTCAATGACTTCAGCACCGCTTCAGTCGTCCAACTTTTGGCCGCTTTTTCATAGCTGAGAATGGTTTCTCTGAGCTGACTGTAGGTTATACCTTCTGTCACAGTCAACTGAAGGTGTTCTCGAAGACGGGCCTCTGAGCATCGTATCAAAGTTGCTGCTTTCAATTCCTCGGGATACTTCTGTCCAGACAAGTCCTCAAAAGTTTCGACCAGAGGTTCATAGGTGAAGACATTCTCCAAGGCGCTCTTCTTGCCATCGAAGTTGGGATGGACAGCCAGCGCCTGAGCAATTGCCAAACTGCGTTGTCGGCTTGGAGGCTCACACTCAGTCACCAGTGCACGCCCAAAACGGAAACCAATTTTCGAAGATGCAAAAGATACCACCAATCCCACGCAACGTCCACGTAGGTATGATGTCAAAACTGCATACAGTTTTGTAGCTAGATCACGTTCATCAGGACTGTAGGGTTTCAGATCCTCACCAGTTTAGTTTTGTTTTTTTGGCTCGCACCTTTTTGCTGCATGAGTTCATGGTCCCCCAAAATCTTTGTTGTTGGCTGACTGTTTTTATACTGGCCAGGCCGCTCGGTGGTCGCCAAGTGGGTCAAGGTTGCGACGGCACCGACAAGCTCGTTCGGTAAGGGGTCATGGAAGCCGAAGGCGGCGGAGCAGGAGAATGCGAAAAATGTGGTCAGGATACGTCGTGTCTGTGGTATATGGAATTGTGGTAAAAGCCCTGCTGGCAAAAGGTCCGGTTTGGGAATCGAGCAAGGCTTGGCTGGCTGCATCGATGCTGTTGTATACCCCTGCCCTGGCTGTTCTGTGGAAAGGGGCTGACGCGTGTTGTTGCCAGCCTGGTTGGGTTGGCCCTGTGAAAGCTTCTGCTTGGGTTTGGGGCGGCTGTTCTTCGAGCACTTGTTGCCAACTTGGGGGTTCCCATCCGTGTGCGTGTATGTGTTGGTGAGCGGCTTGCGCTGCTTGTATGCAAGGCTGTGCTTCGTCCAGGTTGTTCAGTGCCTGGAGGATGGTCGCTGCTACACGTGGGAGTTGGCGTTGCAAGCCATGCCGGCATCGGCCCATGATGCCCAGCGGGCGGGGGTGGACAGTTGGGAAGCACTCATGAGACCCAAGCCTCCCATGGCCAGGGGAAGGTGTAACTCTTGCCAACGCGTCTACTGGCAGCGAGTCTGTTTGCAGAAGCTGCGTGAGGCAGCGGCTGATGTCAAGGTCGTGTTGTTCTGCAAAGGTGGCTGTTTGCGCCGGCGGTAGCAGCCGGAGCAAATAGTTACTGCGGGGGCGGGCAGTGTAGAGAAGCAACAGCCATGCTGCTTGGAAGTCTTGGAGGTGTGGCAACTGTTCAAGGAGAGGCCTGTGGCTGGTTGAGGTGTTTTGCAAGAAGTACTGCGCATAGGCATCGGTACCAATGGGTGCCCCCAAGACTGTGATGCCTTGTTGTTCGCGGGGGAGCTCCTGGTTGCCTACCCAAGTGTCTGGCCCTACGGTGTGGATGTTGGGTGGTGCATGTCCGCCACGGTTCCAGATTCTTGTTTTGCCCTGGTTCAAGCGGATACGGGCATGTGCCTCAAGATGGCGTGCTAACAGGTCGTAGACGGCCCGGACGCGCTCTGGCTGCACCACTGCATAAATGTCATCCAAAAAAACGTAGATGACTTCGCCGGGTTGGAGCTGTGCTTGGAAGGCTTGTAGGGCTGGCTCTTGGCCCAAAGAGAACAGGGCCGGCATGAGGGAGTCCCCTTGTTCACCCCCCTCTGCTTGTGTATTGGTGTGCTGGGTGCCGTTGCGTCATGCCAAACATATTCGGATGCCGTTGTGTACCACAATCTCACAAAGGGGAGGCACCTATTGGCTTCTGGTGTGTGGAGGAGGCCGCTCAACATACTATTTCGTGAGATTGTATCGTAGGCACCCACACCATCAATGGATAGGATTGTGTTGCTGTTGCTGCTTTGTGTTGTCGCCGTCAGTGCATGTACGACCGCCCCGCGTGGACAGTGCGAATTGGTGGGGGGCACAGGCTGCGTGGAACTGGGTGGCAAAAACTTAGGCGATGCAATGTGCGACGACTCGCCGTAAAACATCCCCGACGACGAGCCCCCGAATGCCTCCATTAGGTTTGGTGAGTTGCCCACCTCCTCAAAGGCTTTCTGAAATCTGCTCTCACCAGATGACAACCATGAGCAAAATCCAAATTTCCAAGACTGAAAGCTACGTGGATCTTCTCCAGAAAATGGTTCTCAATTTTTCAACACCCAAGCCGCCATAGAAAGTCCGGCTTGGGTTGCGTCTCCAACTGAACTGCTCGCACCCCCCGATGTAGCTCCTGGAGCAGGTTGTGAAAGAGCTCGTCCAGCAGCGCTAGCAGCTGATGTAGCTGCTTTAGCCAAAGACGCCATACGTTGAAGATCGTTGAAGGAATGCTTGTTCACCTTGTCCTTGACCTTCCATGGCATGGCCGCTACAGGCCCATGACGCAAACAACATTGCCTTCAGCTGCAGCTTCATCTTGCATCGATAGGTTCTTCGGATTTTCTTCTCAGACCTGGCTGTTGGTCTCGTCGGTCTCAGGCCCAAATGGCTCACCATCATCAAAGCCACCACACTGCATATCCAGCTGCACCAAAATCGTTCCACCGTCATTGTCATGATGTCCATGAATTGCCTCGTGAAGGTACGAAGTCCAGCCACCATCGCGGCGTAGACAGTCTCATAGTTGATGGAGTCGTAGTCCAGCACGAAGTGCTCAGCCATGATGCAGAGCTTCTTCCAAGAAGTCCAAGTGCACGTTCAGGGTTGCCGCGCACGCCTTCCAGCTACATCCAACCACTGAATTGTTCTGGGTTGCCAACTCAGCGCACAGCCCTCCATCCAATTCGCACCAAACCATCTTCGTCTCGTTGAACACCATACCACAAGCACCAAGAAATCCTTCAGTTCGACTTCCATGGGGTTGGATACCAACTGCTCCAAACCGATTTGAACTTTTTTCACATGCCAGCGAGACTTGAACTTCTGGCCACACATTCTCTCCAGAGGTGATTTCATCTGCGCAGCGGTTGGAGCCCCGAACTCCACATTCAGCAGAACCTCCATCGCCGGGGACTTGAACCTCTCGGTCAGGTAGAAGACTTTGTCTCTTTTCACATGCCCTGGGGCCTCGAACCTCGGGTTTTTTGGAAATCCTAACCAAGCTATCATTGCCAAAACCCAGTTGCATTCTACCATTCATTGCATCTGCTGGGCAGGTTGTTGTTTGAACCTGTTTCGAACTGTTTCCCCCGGAGCCCATGCGCTTCATCTTTTGCCGGAAGGAAAGATTGCAGAGGTTTGCAACATCCATCTCCACCTGGTGCTCCTTCTCCATGTTGTCACCAAGCTTACCACCACCAATCGCCACCACGGCTATCACCAGCAGCGACATGCAAAGTTTGTTACACTTATCGATTTGCTGCGTGGTAGCATCATTGCCCCGGTGTAGGGCTCTGCTACCATGCGGAGCACAGCCGGTTCTATTTTCCACTCATTTGAGCCACTGTTGCAGGTGGTGGCATACGCATTGTTTCACTGATAAGAACAGATACTACACAAGATACTACACAAGTGCACGGGGATCGGCTAAAAGTTCACAAATTCACTCATCAACATGATCTACCATTTGCATCACATATTTGAGACCTGTGAGACGTGCTTTTGAAAGACTCTTTGTTCCAACATCAGCTGGATTCAGCTCAGCGGGAATGGCTGTGATGCTGAGTTTCTTCTCTTTGACTTTCTGCTGCAACCACACAACGTTGGCTGCAATGTGACGGGTCCTGCCGATGCCAAGACGATTGGCAAGAGCACGTGCTGCTGAAGAGTCAAACCTGCAGATCTGTTGCGTTCATCACCACAAAAAAATTGCCAGCGGTGTTGCAAAAACAGACGCAAAGCAATGCTCTTCTAGCTGCGCACATAGGATTCAATGAGATTTCCATCCGAATAAATCTGGGTGGATGAAACCAGAGTTTCTGCTCTCACGATTTCCAGCGTAGTCTGCATCGCAAATCGTTTCCATGAGATGATGGCCATCAGCGTCATCTTCATGTCTAATGCCCTTTGTGTTGAGTGCACTGATGCCTTTCGTGACGTTGCAGAGCAGTAAACCATCATACTTAGAGTCTTTGAGGTAGGAGCACAAATGACGAAGTGCTTTCTAGGCCTCTTTGGTGAGTTTCTGCATGAAAAATGCTAAGCCCTGAGCCACGTACTGACAATCAGGACGCTCAGAAGCCACGTGCAGTAATTTTCCCACGCAGCTACGAATTTTTTTCCAATCATTCTCATCCATTGCTTCATCCTCCTTTGAAAGTCGATTGGAATTTCCAGCGCATGGTGTCTTTCTGTTTTCCAATAGTCAAACCTGAAGACCAAAAGGGCCTTTCTTTTCCAACTTCCAACCTTTTTCCGCCTCAAACTTCTGAAGAAACGTAAGTGCTGCACGCTCATCTCCAATCACCAGCAAATCGTCAACATGGATGGTGACATACAACCTGCTGCCCTTCTCATGTGGCTGCTGGTTCTTTCGCGTCAAAGTGGGCTGCATGACATCACATTCCAAACCATGTTTCTCACTCTTTTGTTTGAACTCGTCAAACCATCGGCTTGCTGCTGTTCTTTGCCCTGGCAAAACACGACCCAAACGATCCAACTTCTCATGTTTTTTCACAAAAGTTTTCTCAGCCTCTGGCTGCCTCACCATCAAAAACGCATCTGTCACATCTACTGTCCAGAAGTCCAAATCGACATCCATCCAAAAAGTTCAGAAAACGATGAAGCATGAGGCGCACGATGGCGTACGCAGATGTTGGTGCAAAAGCCTTATCTGGAAAGACTGGCCACTTGTACTGCCGCGCAACAAGCCTTGCACGACGAAACGAACCTTCTGTCCCTTGGCGGTGTTTCCATGTCACCACTATTGTGGTTGTGATGGTGTAGGATTCCTCATCCCATTCTTCATTCTCCTCAACAGGGATGAGCACCCCCATCTTGATCAGCCTTTCTTCTTCCTCGGATCTCCTGAGCTTCTGCCTTCAGATCCATTTCTGATAGCATCTTTGGCGGTTGGTCCTCCTCATCATTCACCAAATCATCGCATTCGAAGAAGAATTCATCTTCCGCTGCCATCTCAACGTCTTCATCTCCATCAGGAAATTCCACAAAGACTCTCCTCTTCATCTTCAGCTCCTCTCTTCAACCTCGTCATGAGCCATTCTCTGCTTCTTAATGTTGACAGCGAGGGTCGCCGCACCAACAAAGATCTCCATGAGGAAGGACTTGCATCCTCTCGGCAACATCCTTCTCGGTCGTTTGTAGTCCGGTGACAAAGTAGACCACATAGCGCAATCCTCCTTCTCCACTTCATCCAACGATTCTTGTAGATGTGTGCGCTGCTTGCGCGTCAGTATCTTGACCTTGCCTTCTGTGATCGGCATGTAGTCACTGCCACCTTTGTTGATCTCGGAGATCTCATCCTCTGAGAGCGTGTCCACATACTTGATGATCCCGTCATCGTCATGGACGTTGTCCTGGATGTCGTGCTGCTCGTCAATGGCGTTCAGCACGATGTTGCTCAAACCAGGCTCTCCAGGATGAAGCGCCATGGAAGGCAGACCATTGTGCATGATCAGTTCCAACTCCTTGTCAAGCTTGCGGCTGTAGATGGTGTGGTTCCCCATGTCGATCACCAAACCCAATCGTTGCTGTGCACCAGCGCGCAAAGGAGCGTCAGAGTCTTCAAGTTCCACCGACGTGATCGTTCCTGGAACCATGGGTGTTCAGGTGAATCGGTATCTCCCTTTTGCATGCCACCATCACTCGCCCTCCACCCCTTTTGAAGTTTCCATCTGCAACCTCGGGCTTGGGGTTGAAGCCAAGGTCTTCTCCATGTACTTCAGCATCCACCTGTCACCATGACAGGTGTTATTGCAGCCTGTGTCCAAGACTGCCATTATGCGTTCATCTTCGGCTGGTCCAGGTTGCCCCGTCATCATGTAGGCGCTTGAACCTGGATGTTCTTGTTCATGTCGTCGGGCTGCATACTTGGTGAAGTCGATGATGTGTGGGTTGCTCAATGAGCCGTTCTTCAGCTTTGCCACCATCGCCTTGCGGTAGTTCATCTCCTTGAAGCAGACGTCAGCGTTGGTGCGTCCATAGTAGGCACCTGATTGCAAAGGTCTCGCTACACTGCCGTTGCGAGATCTCACAGGTTGAGTTGCTTGTCGTCCGCACTGCGGCATCGGTCGTAGATCTTGTCCCGCTGGTTGAGAAAAATGGTTTGTCCCACCTCTCGTTGAACATCCACCACATGTCTCACCAGATCGACGGTCCTGTCCACCTCGTAGTCCTCATGAGCTGTCGCCATAGTCGGACTTGGTGTCACCTGCGGTGTCCTCATTGGTGTGGTCGGCACAGGTGATGCCGATCCCTCAGATCTGGCAGTGGCTGGCCTGGCACTCTCTCCCAGGTACTTGTCGCCAGAAGCAGTGTGTCCACAGCTCTTGCATCTCCACTTCCAAGTGCGTCCTGTCGTTCTTCTTTCGTCTCGATCTTCGTGAGGGCATTCTTTGGGTGACGTCGTCTTCATCTTCTCAGACGGCGTGAGCTTCTCCTCCTGCAAGATCAAGCCACAGTCCTTGCACTTCGTGATGCGCGTGCCGTCATTGGATCCATGCGTTGTTGTTCTGGCATGGACACATTCCGAAGGTGTCGGAGTTGAAGGTGTCATCAAACTCCCATCGTAGTCGTTGAGATCCTTCATGATCGTCCTCAAAAAGGTCTCGATCCATCTCATCCTCAGGGATCGGGCTCATCACCTTGGCTGGTAGATGACGTGGCCCTTGTCGAGTTTTGGCATCCCATCGCACCAAGTTGATGCGGTCAGCTTCTGAGGAGAAAGGGTGACCAGCCACTCTTTCGTTCCACCTCTCCTGATATGCGTCTTTGTGGATCTGAATGGCCGTTGACAACCTCCGACCTCCAGGTAGTGGTCCAAGTAGGCCATTCTTTCCGGTCGGTACCCCCAAGCCGTAAAGAAGGGTCTCTCATTGTTGTTGATCATATCTGCATGGTCTTCCAGCAATCGTTGCATCATCTGTAAAACCAATGAGATGTTCTCCACAGCGAAGGGGGCCACCATCTGCCAGGGTTGTCCACCTTATCCAGAATGTCCTTGATGTAGAGCACGTTGATCTTGTCCAGCTGGTGTCATCATCGGAACTCGTTGAGGTTGATCTCGATAAGCTTGTTGAACTTGTGCCTGAGCAATCATCGCATCCAGCATCTCATCCGCTGTTCTCTCGGCGTCCATCAACTCCCCCGTCACCATGTAGCTGCAAGCATCCGCAGTGGTCTTCTCGTCGTATTCGTTTATGGCGAAGTAAACGGCGCGCTGCTTGGGTTCAGATCCTTTTCTCTTGTGGGATTTGTTCCCCTTGGTGGAGGCCGTACTGGTAGTCGACGCTGTGGATCCTTTTCCTTTTTCCTTTTCCAAACCCTTTTGGCCAGTTCGGGTCATTGGCCCAGTGCCCAACTTGTCCACATGGTCGGCACGAAGACTTCAATTTGAGCGCCTGAACGCGCTGACGTTTCTCCTCCAGGCTGAGGCTTCCCTGGACTTGGAACTGACGTCCATGTCCTTTGCTCCAGAAGCCGTAGTGGCCAGGGGATTGCGCGTGCAATTGCGCGTGGTAGGCCTCTGACTCAGCCTGCAAGATGTCAGCCGCATGCTCAATCGCTTCAGGGTCTTCTTCATCCAGACGTTCATCATTCATCGCTTGGTATGCAACGTGGATGGGGTCATACTCATCCGCGCAGAGTTCTGCAGTCCCGGCACGGTACACAGTGTGGTCGTCGGTGATGTCCTCATAACCGCCAAGAGATTGTGATGCGCTCTCCCTTGACTCCTGTTTGTCGTCGTCCTCCACGTAGTAGGAGCGCCATTTCCCCTTCGATGGATTACTTCCGGTTCCAAAGCCCTTGAAAGGTGAGGACTTGTAGCCCTTACCAAAACTGCTGCCCTTCTCCTTCTCGTGGATCCTGCTGTGCTGGGCCACCAACTCTTCACAAATTTTCTCATCGCCGCGCGGATCAGCAATTCATCAGCAATTGCTCCGCCAAGATTCCATCGGGCAACTTCAAGTCCGGGTCCACGTCGGTCATCATCCTGTACCAGGCACGTCTCCTCAAAGCGTAGCTGGCGATCGAATCTCCACGCAGTCTGCTGCGAATGCCGCCATACTGTGCCCCTGCTTGGTACAGATCTCTGGTTGCTTGTTTGTTCCTTGGTGCCAATGAACTAGTCATGCTCTTCAGCAGGAACTCCACGCCTGTCTCCTTGTTAGCGAGTTCGTCCACCGGCAAAGTCCTGGCCACTTGAAGAATTGCTCCACGAAGTCCATCAACTAGCCGTAGAGCAAGAGGTCCAAGTTTCTCCACCTCGTCTTCGGCCATGGATAGTTCGCTCGCCTGCCAAAGGCGTACCCTGAAAGAGTACTCACTGAGACGTGCCGGATCGCCATCAAACCTCAGCACTCCAGCTTTGCCTTCTGAGGATATAGAGTCTTCGGTCGTTGTGCTGAACGTAATCCATTTCAGGGCTTCCAGTATAGACACGGCGCAAAATGCGGAGCCGCTGGCTAGGTTATGTATGTGGGGGTCCCACGGTTGTTTGAAGTCCCAAATACCCCGGAGTCCAATGCTCCGCTGCCAGAAAAAAACTGGCAACGAAAAGTGTGCAAACACAAGTTGCCAAGTGCTGCCTTTTTTGTCGCCACATGAATGTTGTAGCTTGAACCACCGGACACGGTGGTAAAGGTTTCATGCCATGTGTGATGGCTGGACAAAAGGATTGATCAATCGGCAGGCATGGTTTGATTTTCACTGTCACACACTAATTACACCACATCACAAGCTAGAACTTAAAACTGCAACTCCACTACACATCTACTACCACAACTACATCTGCAACTGCGCCGCACCACGCTACATCCAACAGTTGTGGTCAGCTGACCACTGCAACCATTGCAGCCACTCCAGAAAACACAACTCCAACCACCTTTCGGTTCATCAGTGGATTCAATCTGCCATCCGTGGTTCAAAACAACCAACCTCTCCTATAGGTTTCCGATTTTTGAAACTTCCGCCACCGCCTTGTGCGGTACTACTGGTAACATGGTCAATAACAATTTTTACTCTCAAATATTCCCCTTTGATTCACGACATGGTTCCTGGTAAATCGACATGATTTAGCAAATTGTTTCTACATTTTCAACATTTTCTAGTAGTAGTAGTGGTAGTAGTAGTGGTAGTAGTAGTAGTAGTAGTAGCAGGAGGAGGAGGAGGAGCAAGGGTAGGGGTAGGGGTGGGAGGAGGAGGAGGAGTAGTAGTAGTGGTAGTAGTAGTAGTAGTAGCAGTAGTGGTAATAGTAGTAGTAGTAGTAGTAGTGGTGGTGGTGGTGGTAGTGGTAGTGGTAGTGGTAGTGGTGGTGGTAGTAGTAGTACTGGGAGGAGGAGGAGTAGGTAGGGGTGGGAGGAGGAGGAGTAGTAGTAGTGGTAGTAGTAGTAGTAATAGTAGTAGTAGTAGTGGTAGTAGTAGTAGTAGGAGTAGGAGTAGGAGTAGAAGTAGTAGTAGGAGTAGTAGGAGTAGTAGTAGCACTTGTAGAAGTTGTAGAAGTTGTAGCTGTAGTAGCAGTAGTAGCAGTAGTAGTAGAAGTAGTAGTAGTAGTAGTAATAGCAGTAGTAGCAGTGGTAGGAGTAGTCGTAGTAGTAGTAGCAGTAGCAGTAGCAGTAGCAGTAGCAGTAGCAGCAGGAGTAGTAGTAGTAGTAGTAAAAGTAAAAGTAGTAGTAGTAGTAGTAGTAAAAGTAAAAGTAGTAGTAGTAGTAGTAGCAGTAGGAATATATATATATACACACACATGCAGAGAAATGTAATGCAAGTGTGACTTGAATAAAGAAGCGGGAGGGGGGATTGGGGGAGGGCGCAGCGCCTCCCCCCAAAGCAGAATGACAACACCTGTTTTCACAGGCAATGCTGCAGTTTGAATATACCACTCAATGTGCTTATAATGTCGAGCATGCCCCTTGTGAGCATTGGACATTTCAGCTGAAATTCTATCTGACTTTCTTTCTGATATCATACTAACTGACTGGCCTGTATTGTGACATTGTTTCTGAAACCAATCCGATATCCTACCTGATATTTTTTGTTACTATTTTTTGCCATTATTTTTCGCATCTTTTCTGGCAACATTTGTGTTCTTAGTGTTTCCTTCCTTCCTTCCTCCCTCCCTTCCTTCCTTCCTTCCTCCCTCCCTCCCTTCCTTCCTCCCTTCCTTCCTTCCTTCCATCCTAGCTCTTAATTTTTTTTTGATCCTCGGATTTGTTTTTTGATCCTCAGATTTTTTTTGATCCCTATCCCGAGAATGCGTTCAGGAAGTGTGACCAATTTCTGTCTGCAAAGTGCCGCTGTCTTACGGTGGGGCAAAAACAATTTCCAAGTTCGGTTTCTGATGGTTGGATTTGCAATATACGATTTGCAGCCACTACTTGATTTACGTTTCGCTAAGTTGTTTTCAACCCTGGCCTGAACAGTTGTTGGAACAATACTTCAATTTGCATCTTATGCCGCACATCCCCAACCATCGCTGGCTGAAACATGCTGAATGGGAGACACCACAAATGGAAACCTGCCAGTCGCGCACAGGTTTGATAGGTGCATGTGTAGTTCGACGAAGTTTGCTATATCTATTCACATGGTTTTGGAACATATCAATACATATCATGCAATCATCAGGTGTGAAATTCACGGGGAATTCAGCTCAAGAAATTCAGTTTCTTGGATCACGTGTAGTCGGCTGCACATTTGGAGAGGTTGAAAGCGGTTCGTTTCGATAGACGAATTGTGCGTTCAGGAAGTGTGACCAATTTCTTTCTGCAAAGTGCCGCTGTCTTATGGTGGGGCATAAACGATTGACAAACTCGGTTTCTGATGGTTAGATTTGCAATATACGATTTGCAGCCACTACTTGATTTACGTTTCGCTGCTAAGTTGTTTTCAACCCTGGCCTGAACAGTTGTTGGAACAATACTTCAATTTGCATCTTACGCAGCACATCCCCAACCATCGCCGGCTGAAACATGCTGAATGGGAGACACCACAAATGGAAACCTGCCAATCACGCACAGGTTTGAGAGGTGCATATGTAGTTCGATGAAGTTTGCTATATCTATTCACATGGTTTTGGAACATATCAATACATATCATGCAATCATCGGGTGGGAAATTCATGGGGAATTCAGCTCAAGAAATTCAGTTTCTTGGATCACAAGTAGTCGGCTGCACATTTGGAGAAGTTGAAAGCGGTTCGTTTCGATAGACGAATTATGCGTTCAGGAAATGTGACCAATGTCTTTCTGCAGAGTGCCGCTGTCTTTCGGTGGGGCATAAACGATTGACAAACTCGGTTTCTGATGGTTGGATTTGCAATATACGATTTGCAGCCACTACTTGATTTACGTTTTGCTAAGTTGTTTTCAACCCTGGCCTGAACAGTTGTTGGAACAATACTTCAATTTGCATCTTATGCAGCACATCCCCAACCATCGCTGGCTGAAACATGCTGAATGGGAGACACCACAAATGGAAACCTGCCAGTCACGCACAGGTTTGATAGGTGCATATGTAGTTCGATGAAGTTTGCTATATCTATTCACATGGTTTTTGGAACACATCAATACATATCATGCAATCATCAGGTGTGAAATTCATGGGGAATTCAGCTCAAGAAATTCAGTTTCTTGGATCACGTGTAGTCGGCTGCACATTTGGAGAGGTTGAAAGCGGTTCGTTTCGATAGACGAATTGTGCGTTCAGGAAGTGTGACCAATTTCTTTCTGCAAAGTGCCGCTGTCTTATGGTGGGGCATAAACGATTGACAAACTCGGTTTCTGATGGTTAGATTTGCAATATACGATTTGCAACCACTACTTGATTTACGTTTCGCTGCTAAGTTGTTTTCAACCCTGGCCTGAACAGTTGTTGGAACAATACTTCAATTTGCATCTTACGCAGCACATCCTCAACCATCGCCGGCTGAAACATGCTGAATGGGAGACACCACAAATGGAAACCTGCCAATCACGCACAGGTTTGAGAGGTGCATATGTAGTTCGATGAAGTTTGCTATATCTATTCACATGGTTTTGGAACACATCAATACATATCATGCAATCATCAGGTGTGAAATTCATGGGGAATTCAGCTCAAGAAATTCAGTTTCTTGGATCACAAGTAGTCGGCTGCACATTTGGAGAAGTTGAAAGCGGTTCGTTTCGATAGACGAATTATGCGTTCAGGAAATGTGACCAATGTCTTTCTGCAGAGTGCCGCTGTCTTTCGGTGGGGCATAAACGATTGACAAACTCGGTTTCTGATGGTTGGATTTGCAATATACGATTTGCAGCCACTACTTGATTTACGTTTCGCTAAGTTGTTTTCAACCCTGGCCTGAACAGTTGTTGGAACAATACTTCAATTTGCATCTTATGCAGCACATCCCCAACCATCGCTGGCTGAAACATGCTGAATGGGAGACACCACAAATGGAAACCTGCCAGTCACGCACAGGTTTGATAGGTGCATGTGTAGTTCGATGAAGTTTGCTATATCTATTCACATGGTTTTTGGAACATATCAATACATATCATGCAATCATCAGGTGTGAAATTCATGGGGAATTCAGCTCAAGAAATTCAGTTTCTTGGATCACGTGTAGTCGGCTGCACATTTGGAGAGGTTGAAAGCGGTTCGTTTCCATAGACGAATTGTGCGTTCAGGAAGTGTGACCAATTTCTTTCTGCAAAGTGCCGCTGTCTTATGGTGGGGCATAAACGATTGACAAACTCGGTTTCTGATGGTTGGATTTGCAATATACGATTTGCAACCACTACTTGATTTACGTTTCGCTGCTAAGTTGTTTTCAACCCTGGCCTGAACAGTTGTTGGAACAATACTTCAATTTGCATCTTACGCAGCACATCCCCAACCATCGCCGGCTGAAACATGCTGAATGGGAGACACCACAGAAAGGCATCGCCTGCAGAATGATTTTCCATCAAGGGATCAAGCGCTTAAAACATCTTAGAGCAACCCCCGGAAAGATAGAAAAGTAAGTTCCAACTATCTTTGTATGAGTTTACTGTTTTATCTGGCTGATTATGGTTGATTCTTTTTGGGGGTTCCAAGAATCAAAAAGGCAACCCCTGTTGTCGAATGGTTGGTGGGTTGTGTGGTCGAACCTGTCGAACCGTCCCTTTTGAAAACCGGTTGGTTGAGAACGGGAGTCCCCGTCTATGGATTGTACTGCTTAGTAGAAATCCCCTACAATCCATATGGCTGGTTTACCACAGAAAGTCCAGGAAAGCAAGGTGGATTAAAAAAGTGATTTTACCCCA